CAGTCCCCCCCCGCCCCTTGGACAGCAGCAAAATACTAAACCAGATCAGCTGCATGTGAAACTGCAGCCTTTATCATGCTACCCCTAAATAGGTTCAGAGCACTTGTATGGTGGGAGATCTATGCTGTTTTTTATCAGGCAAGCAATGGTCAGAGAAGAAATTTAGATCCTTTTTGCCTCAAAGGAACATAGGTCATTCAGAAACACTTCTTTTGCTATCTCTACTATTATTATTACCCATAAAAGTATAGGAAATTCTCAGTGTTGGTTACTCAGTTACAGAATCTGAGGATTGTCAGCAGCTCCTGAGACATTAAAAACATCCTTAAGTTATCCATCAGTTGATGAGACATACTATGTAAGCAACCTAATATCTTACTTTAAATTGAGGGTCAAGATATTAGTCCTGCACAGACTACAATACTTCACCAAAAGCAAAACCGACTATTCAGTTGCTCTCTGCATTGATTAAAAGTTTCGTAAGTGCCCAAGTATCATTAATTAAGAGTACAAAAACAGACAACCAGTCATGTCTCTCAACTATAGTAACTGTAGACTCACATTTGAAGATTCTAAACATTTTGACTATATTAGCTATCACCCTCAAACTCCTCTAAAAGGAAGATTATAAGACAAGAGCATGATTAGCAGAGAGAAATTTATCCTTGCTGGGAACGCATGCAAAAATCTGATAGTTGCCAGACAGCTGGCCTCACACAAAGACATCTACTTCCAGCTCATATAGCACGATTTCTTTATAAAGGTCTAGTTATTGCAACAGATAACAGAGAGCAGATTGCTTATATCACTGACACATCATGAATCAATTTCTTACAGCCAGTAAGTGGTTCTCCTAAGATCCTAAAAGGAAAAGCTGCAAGAAGTAATTTGAAATTAATAATGGTAGAAGATTTGAGAAAACTCATATTTCAAAAGTCAATCTGAACTCACCCCCAAAAAACAGCAACATTTAATAATGATAGATGGTAGTAATTAATTCCTTGAAGTTATGTGGCAGTTCACCAAGAACTGCTGTGAGACAGGGATGTATATCATTAAATCCTTCTCCATAATTAAGAGGCACCCTTCTGTGTTTTAGTAGATCAAGACATAGTAGTGAAGTGGGGGAGTGTGGCTTGCTACTGATCCTGATGTACCAATCCAGTTTTCATAGATGACCCTATACCCCCATCCAGCTTTTAGACTGGAAAGATTGGTCACAAAATTATTTAAAGTGACATAAAAAATGCACTTGGTAGAGCTATTGGGGAAATATAATCAAAAAGAAAAAAAAACTGTATTTACCTAGAAATTATCTCTTTCCTTACATATCTTGTACCTTTATTCTTCTCTCTCTCTCGCTCATTGGCTGCCTTTCATTTTCCAGTTACATTCCGTCTTTATTATTGCATCATTTCCAATGTTACATATAAAACCAAAAACCAATCAAGGAAGAACCTCAGTTTTCCTCTATGCACTCTACCCCATTGCTTTCTGTCATTCCCCAAATCTATAATCCCCATTCTTTCTTTTGCCTCTTCCCCTACTGCAAAGGGAGGGAAAAAGACTTATTACTGTACATCTTTTATAGAAGCTATGAATCCATCTTCTTAATTCTCACCTTGTGGTTATTATGTCAAGAAGGAAGAATTAATAACCCATTGTCCTCTTATGGTAAATTGCTTAGTAGCACAGTAAAGGGAATACTTCTCACAGGGGAACATCATCAGATGTTTGGAGACAGTAAAAGACTGGTCTGTCATGGGGACACAAGGTTACTGTTACAGACAAGACAGAGGTGGTTTAAGGACAGAGAGACAGCACGTATAACTACTATGTTGCCTTTCTATTTGCATCTTAGCCTACCTCTGTTAAACCAGAGGCCACAGTCCTGGCTAGAGTCCTTCAGAGATGACAGTTAAATGTCAGAGCTAAGATACATAAGACCTTGAATGTCAGTAGTAGCTACCAGTCAGCCTGAGAGAATAAAATGCAGTTTGTAAATGTTACTGAAGGCTACTTAAGGACACTCTGAATACATTAGAAATACAGCTGAATGTATTTAAACTACATAGCAAACAACTACTTACCTTGTTGTTCTTACATATATTTCAGCACAAGGTTTTTAACAAAAGTTACACTTCCATATTTTGTGTGTATACACACAGAAGAACAGGTCAAATAGAAGAACATTAAAACATTGTAGGGATGCATTCGTGTTCTCTGGAGCGTCAGGCAACCAACCTTTCAGTTCCTCTGAAAACACTCCTGAGAACAGCTGATGAACTTGCTTGGCTACCTCATACCTCTTCCACAGCTCTCCAAGTGCTTCTCAGCACATATGTTCAGATGATATACCTATGATCTACCTCTTCTCCTCCTCTCCTTCAAGCCCTGCAATACAAATATACAGGCAACTTATATACATTCAAGTGTCTCAGACCAAGAGGACTTCAAGTTTACCTTTTCATTAGGCTCAGTATAGCAGAATATCGTGGGCACAGCATTTTCTTTCAGGAGTTTGTTGTTGCATTCTCTTTTAAAGCAATCAGGAGTAAAGTGTTCTGAACAAATACTGCTATACTTGGTTGGCTTGAAGTTTTTCCTTTTAAGAGCAGCTTCCCATTTCTTGCAAAGATCAGGTCTTGTGAGAGGAAACCTATAAATAAAATATACTTTCCACTTTCCTTAGAAGTTTTTTAACATGGTTTAGTATTGTAGTTAAGCACACACAAAATACCTTTAATATTATGACTTACTGCACCATTACTTAGTTTTTTCCTCTTGCTAACTAATGTACAAAACCCAGTCCCTTGTGTGAACACAAATACCATAGTATAATACAAACGCACAGGCCAGCTCTTCTGGTTCTCTGAAAAAGGCAGGTTTTTGTAATATCCAAAGAAATTTGTGCTGTCACTAAGCTTTTCCAAGAGAAAGCATCAGTGACACGAGCTTAGAAAGCAAAGTTTTCAATAGCATATTCACAGGAAACTCCTGAAACTTAGGGCTCAGACATGCTCACAAGAGCCCACAAGAAACAAGGCTAGGCAGTGGCAGCCTTGACTAGTAACAACTGGGACAAGAAAGGCAGCTGTTTCCCAACACACAGATTGTATAGCACCAGGCAGAAAGGACAAAACAGACTTCGAGGAGGGAGACAGTACTTTTCATGGGGGATTTGCACAGCACCGAACACACAAGAAGTAGTGCTGCAGGGAAAAGTGGTTCACTAAGGCTCTATAGTAGCACACACAGAAAAGCTAGGAAAGACTACTTCTCTTCGGGGGAGATGCACAGTGCCAACCATATCACAGGCGAAGAGCAGTCCAGCTAAAAGTCTCAGTAAGGCGCCAAGCACATCCTCAGCGTGCAGAGCTTATACCTACTAAGCCTCTCCCCCGCAATACGCTACTCACGCAGTCAATTCAGTTCCCACCACACCCACACAACCCCTCCTCAGCGCGCGCGCGCGCACACACACGCCCTTCTCCCTAATATGTGCCCCACCCACTTTGCACGCACTCGGTTGACATTTCTTAACCACCCCCCTGCCCTCGAACGCGCGCTCTCGCTTTCACAGCGCGCGCGCGCTCGCCGACACTCACT